AGCCCAACGTGCTAGATAGTCTAAGACTCGAGTATTACAATAAACACACTTATCTCATCCATGGAATTCGGTCACCTTTTCCACGGAATCTTCTACCCAAAAAAATAAAAATGGTAGCAATGGAAACTGCATGCGCGGGAAAAAGTCTCAAAAAACCTGCAGCCCCAGCCAGGCGAGGCCTAGACACCGGGACCACATGAGATGCGCATATTCATCTATATCTCCCCTCTTTGTAACATTCGAGGCCGACTTGATCCAACCCACCATCTCCATATCTGGTGCTGGGTACGCTCCGGAAACCCATCGGATGGCTTCTCCTCCATGATCAATGGTTGGTGATGAGAAGGACTCCGACCCTACCATCTGATCTGACCGTGGTTAGCTTCATGATAGTGGTGGTAGGGTGATGTTTTGAGAGATGAAGAGGAGACAGACGGCGAAAACGATTGGGAACACTCGTCGAAGTGAGGACTTTGTTACTCAATCTCGGCTCTACAGATTCTACAGTGATAGATGGAGATTTGTAAGGGAAACGACTGACAGGATTTAAGAATAGTCCCCCATCGGTTACTTGAATCAATGCGCTATACAACCTCAATGACAAAGGGGTTATCAATTGCTTAATATGACCTATCATTTCCACAAGAGGTCTCTTCCTTATCTCTTTCCACGCTCCACTTGGCCTTCCTTCCTCAAGATGCATAGCCCCATTAGAGAAACAAACCCACATACACCATGAACCGAGTATTGTATGTTATGACTAAAACTCATCACAATGGGTATACGTAGTGTCATGAATATTTAGTGGGTGATGGCCAGTATTTAATGGAGCAACTTCTTTATTGGTCGTTGAAGCGAGATGATGTGTGGTTAGAAAGAAGTTGAGGACTCAGATGACAATGGTGAGAGAGGCATGAATGAAAAGTCGTCAATTGAAGATGTGTTTGTGTTTTCTTTTGACTTCAATTCGGTTACGATCCTTTTTGGCTATCCCAAATATGCAGAGTATACTGAGCGATTACACCGGCACCATTGGAAGGTGAGGAGTACGTCCATTCCGACTGAGGCTCTCGCATAATTGATGATCCTGAATTCCAAGTCCGAGCGTAACGCCAAGTCTCACGGCAAGCGAGCCGCCGAGTTTGAGGTTCCATCAAGAATGCACCCCTCGCATTCTTTGGTCACAATTCGGGCGGCTAAGCACCTCACTCCTCTCCTACTGTATTCTGATAGTTTAATTGTCATGTATCATTGATCGTTACATTATCTGGAGTATAGAGGAATTCATGTATTTAAGGAGGAGTTAGAACGTTAATAGAAATACAAGTTTACACCTAGTCTCAAGCTCTACACACATATAGATTGTCGTAGTCGGAGCCACGAGACATCCGTGAATTTCACAGTCAACATTTATCATTTTATTCTTACTGACGTGCACAAGAAACCTCATAATTAACCCGCGTATTCAGCAGAAAAACTGTACGTCTGTCCGCGGTGACCGCTACAAACCTGGGAGTGACATACTCTCCCAGAGCCAAGTTCAGTCAAATTTCGCAATATCAAAGAAGTTGGCCCACGAGGCAAAATTTAAAATTACTCCACCACGTCGTTTTTCCGCTCCCAACGAGTTTGACGTCTACCTAAGCCTTATCAAGTCTACAAGTACGACCAATTACATCCTCATCCCAATGATCACACCTCTTGTCGACTTTCTCTGGCCCAAGCTGGCCACCAAATACATGCTCTCACCGATATTTACATCCGACGGAGGAAGCAAAGCGTGGCGCACAAATCTGGGAGACAGTTCTTTGGAATGGACGTGAGAGGGATCAGGACAAGGTCACAAGATGGTGCGAAGCAAGGATATAACTTCGAAGGGCGTGAAATTTCGAATTTTGGCAATTAGTTTTACGAAGTGAGCTTCGTGCGCGCCAAGACTCCGCTTGCGAGAGTGCAGCTAACACTATAAACACAAGCCAACGATGGAAGGTGTCGTGGTCCGCCTCCTGGTGGTGTTCTCCGGTATAGTTTGAGTAGCCTGGGCATCTACTCCACTTGGGAAAGAGACACCTCAGATCACATATCGCGCGGAGAAAAGTTGAAAGATGATGGAGGCATGTCTGGATAACTCAGGGTTTTTGAGACGTTCCCCTGGGTGGGTATTCACGGATGAGGGCTGACTTGGCGTGAAGAAAAAGTCGCCACAACTTCGCAGTGGTACTTGCAAATAAAATCCGAGGCATGAGTACTCTTCCTTGACGTTGAATCATTTATTCTGTACTTTTCTTTGATATTGTGTCATAGCTAGATAGCTGCATACGCAATTTAAATCTGATCCAAAAATAGAGCCAGCGATGCAAGAAATTACACCATATTAATCCCCACTTCCAAAGCGATCAGTGCCTACCATAGCCTTATCAAGTCTATAGGTAAGATTTAGTACATCTTCATCTCAATGATCACATCTCCCACCCACTATTTTCTGACTTCAGCTGGCTACCAAATACACAGCCACGCTGATATTTATGTTCACCAGGGGTAAAAAATCGTGCCGCATAAATTAGGGAGGTAGTTCTTATTGAAAGACTATGCTGAGCTGAAATGACATACCGTTAGGATGAAGGTATGGAAGGAGGCAGCTATGGCTTTAAGAGATGTGAAGTTCGTGAGTTGTACTCTTAGGACTTGGATCGATGGACGAACTTGAGGAAATTCCCTAGTATTATTAAGTGTGTGTGTGAATAATGTAGATATTTTTTAGATTTTATATAGTATGAATTGCTTATAATGACTATGTGACAGGACCTTCCTCATGTACCTGAATTTGGGGGTTTCTGCGGCGGAAATATGGAATGAAAACCCTACGGTGGCGCCAACACGAACAGTCGGACTAACTGATGATCAAGAAGTCACATTGGTTACCAGTAAGAAGGCTGAAGGATTCAAAAGAGGGCCGGGACGACCATGTAAGATTGTCGAAGCCCCAGTGGCACCAACAATCTCCGCCACAACAGCACCGCCATCGAGGCCAACTCTTCGATTACTTTGAAGACCAACGCCGAGCGAGGAGGTGTCTCCTTTTTTAAATTTTCATAAAGTTGGTCTGATCGAAGGGGGAGTTCATGAATTTTGAGGAAAGTTCATAAATTTGTGGTTGAAAGGAATGTCCTCAGCATTAAGCCGGGTCGGTTCAGAGTGGCAGGAAATCGGGCTTTGTTGAAAGCTTTTCCTCTTACCAAAGCGGCTTACCGTGTTCATGGATCTGTATGTAGACACGGCGTAGAACGATAAACTAGAGAAAGCAATGAAGATGGTTCCTGCACACTAGCGGATGTTCTAACATATCTCCTTTTCTAGCCGAGAAAGGAAGAATGTGAGAGATCCTTGCGCCACTAGATACCATTAGGAATCTATTGGGGAAGACTATGTCACATCATTGAGTGATGATCAAGGTAAATCATATCTGGTGGCGCATGTTCACATTATGCTAATGTGATTAGTTTATTTTAAAGGAGTCATGTTACCCCCCCTAACTACAAAAGTTCTTTGTTTTGTTTCGTTTTGTTCATTAACGTGCTAGGTTACATGGCTACCGTTGCACTCCTACTGGGGCTTAAGCACGGGTGGGGCCGGGTCGGATCAGTTTAACTACCGTGAAGTACAGATAATCCTCGTCCTGCCCAAATCACCGGACTACCTCAGACTTCACCCATGTGTTGAATCATACCAAGCCTAACCGTCCAGAAACCCGCTGTATACACGCCGTAGCGCAATTTCTTCCCCATTCTCGGCCACCACGCGCCCGAGTCCTTGACATTCTCATTGACTCCGAAATATAAATGCCGTCAAAGGTCCCATCGTTGCTCTAGCCTTGCACCTTTATATCGTACCGTTGGGTTGTTTTCGTCATTGGGGATTTGTGAAATCCCCTCGGTGTATGCTCTCTTTTCTTCCTCCTTTGTACACGTCCCGTTTTCATCATGACTATCCTCATTAGGGCGTGTGTAGGTAGGTGATTGGACGAGTATGGGAGTGGATCGCAGGTATATGATCGACTGAGAAATGCTTCGTCGCAAATATAAAAGGAGTTTGAGAGATGTCGGATGTTTGAATACGACTCCTAGATAGACCTAGGCCCATTCGTGAATCGTATATTGGTGGTGATAAGTTTTTGTTCAGCTTTGTTTCGACTATGAAATCTCTGTCGACTGATTTTTCGACCGAAATATCGATTGTAACTCTTTCAAGTCGAAAATCCATCAAATAAAATTCATCCCACCCTTTGTCGTGACTGAATCTCGTCTCTGGGAGAATATTTCACTCCCAGGTTCGTAGAGGACACCACTGACAGGTGTTCAGCCTTTGATTGCGAGAGTATAGCCAACACTATAAAAACGTCCTAATTATTGAATTTTGACCTCGGGTACGTCTTGCGTAGCCTGGATACCCACTCTACTTTGAAAGGTTAAGCTTCAAGTCACTGTTCGCGTGGGGAATAGTCAATAGATTGTGGTGGTATTTCTTGATAACCCAGTGTTTCTGAGAATCTTCCCTGGGTGGGTATTAATGGATCAATGCTGACACGGGGTGATGAAAAAGGCGCCATAAACTCGCATTGGTACTTACAAATGAAATCCCAAGCATGATTGCCATATTTTGGTAATAAGTCATCTATTCTCTACTTCATCTTTGCTACTTTGTCACAGCTAGATAGCTAAACACGCAGTTAAAATCTGATGCAAAAAAGGAAGAGAGCTAGAGGTCTGTAGAAGATACCGCTGAGGGGTATTGGGGTTTTGAACACTTGAGCGCTGAAGTAAGGGAGCCTATATTTCTGCGGTTGGATTAGGCTTTTACTAACACTGGACATAAGAATTACCTATCTGATACCAGTGCTGAGCTTACTGCTAGTCCGGCCAGTTCACGGACGCTGGCTACCACCGATTGCACGCAACAACTTCATTGGCAGGGTTTCAACCATCACAAACAAGAATCCCGCCATGATTATGACATCTGGCAAGCTTCTAGTAGGTCTAAGCCTAGCATTTTCAGCAGTGACTGCTGGAACGTTCAACACTGCTATTGAACAAAGAGTCCAAGTAAGATAAATCAAACTCACGACGCTGAATTTTAGCGCTAACATTTGCATTCTAGAGGACCACTATCTCGAATCAATGGCGTAATAATGTAGAGATAAGCTCCCCCTTATATCCTGCAAACTATCTGTCGGTACCCATTGATCATTTCCACAATGATTCTCTGTATGAGCCCCACACCGAGGAGATGTTTAATCTGAGATACTGGTTTGACGCTACATACTACAAGCCAGGTGGTCCTGTTATCGTCCTACAAGCGGGTGAAACAGATGGAAGTGGACGTTTACCATATCTAACGAAAGGGGTCCTTCACCAGCTGATAGTGGCAACCAATGGGATTGGTGTTGTGCTTGAGCATAGGTATTACGGAACCAGCATGCCAATGCCAAATTTTTCCACAGAAAACTTGAGATTTCTTACAACTGATCAAGCAGTTGCAGATCAGGTTTTCTTTGCTCGAAACGTAAAATTTCCCGGCTTGGAGCATTTAAACTTAAATGCGCCTAATGTAGCCTACATAGGGTATGGAGGATCTTATGCAGGTGGATTTGTAGCAATTTTAAGGAAGCTTTATCCTGATGTTTTCTGGGGTAAGTTAGTCAGTATCTTTTACGTTTCCTTAATTAACGAATGTAGGTTGCATTTCATCAAGTGGCGTTATCGAGGCAGTCCACGATTACTGGGCATACTTTGAGCCGATTCGTGTATATGCTGATCAAAAATGTGTCTCGAACACCCAAAAGTTAATAAATGTCGTCGATAATATCATCCTTGGCCAGAATGACCATGCCCTCACAGAAAGACTCAAAAATGTCTTCGGACTTCCCAATGTCACGCATGATGATGACTTTGCCTATGCTATCTCAAAAGGCATCTACTCCTGGCAAAATCGTAACTGGGACCCGGAACTTAACGATTTCACGTTTGAAAATTATTGCAATAATATCACGAGCTCAAACACAATATATCCTGAAACAAACGAATTAACGGATACAGTCAAAGAGCTCCTAAAAATTGGAGGGTATGAATCAGAAGTAGATAACTTGGCAACACCTTGGCTAAATTGGGTTGGTTGGCTCAATCAACAACTGGTTTCTACCTGCATTGGATCTCAAGATTATTGTTTTGGAACATACAATACTACCTTTTATGAGCAAGATGACATCTCTCAGGATTGGCGGGCGTGGCCATATCAGTATTGCACTCAATGGGGCTATCTACAGACTGGGTCGGGTGTTCCCAAAGATCAGTTACCTCTTTTATCCAGAACAAGTACTCTTGAACGCGAATCTCTTATTTGCAAACTTGCATTTAATATTACAAGCCCGCCCAATGTAGCGGCCATTAATAAGTATGGAGGCTTCGGCCTATCTTACTCTCGCTTGGCCATGATTGATGGCGAACAAGATCCTTGGCGACCCGTAACCGCACATGCGAATCCTTTCAACAGTTCGGCAGTTAATAGGACTAGTACAATATCTGAACCGTTCATACTTATTTCTGGAGGTGTACATCATTGGGACGAAAATGGCCGGCTTGCAAACGAAACTATCGACACAGCTCCAGACCTTTTACCACCTGCCCCTGTAAGACAGGCCCAAGCCCAGGAGGTTACCTTCGTGACAAGTTGGATGGAGGAATGGCAGAAGAAACAACCTATGGAGCTGTAGCTCAAATAGAAATTCTAAAAGGGAAATAAGTGGCTACTCTTCTTGGTGTTGGATACTCGACATAATATGAGACATTTTGTGTAAATTTTATTATGAGCTGAATCAATCACATCGAATCTTTGGACGTCAAATGTTTGGTTCTATTAATAAAACGCCAGTCTTTATATCAGAAATTTACAAATACAGCCCGGCATTATGTACAATAGATAATAAGTAATTCTGTAGATATGGTGATGTCAAATAAAATCCAACTCAAACGTTTGAAACTATGACTTCAAATGATACAGACTCGGTTGACTTGGCGCCTAAGCACTTTGTCTGGAACTACTTTGTGATAGACAGCTTTATGTGAGTGCTCAACAACTAGAATCCTTTGGGCTTAAATATCTTGTACGACAAAGTAGCAACTGTAGGACACAGAATTTATTCACCTATAAATTTTATAGTCGAAATAGTAAACTTCTCATTGTAGAGACTGCAGAGATGATGTCGAGTGATGCTTGCATCATTATACCCATGCGAATGTGTGTGTATTTATTGTACTACTTGAGTCTTTGACTATCTAGCACATTGGGCTCATCTCTGACCCAGGCCACGCCTTGTACAGTGCTCCTTGCCTCTCATATTTCTTGAAAGATCATTGATACATTTCCCACAGTGAATACCCATTCAGCTCAGTATTTACCCGTAGAATACAGCCACACTATCCACGGGACTTTCTACTCAAAAAGATAAAAATGGTAGCAATGGAAACTGCGTGCGCGGGAAAAAGTCTCAAAAACCTGCAGCCCCAGCCAGGCCAGGCCTAGTCACCTGGACCACATGAGGTGCGCATATTCATTCATATCTCCCTTTTTTGTAACATTCGAAGCCGACTTGATCCAACCCACCATCTCCATATCTGGTGCTGGGTACGCTCCGGAAACCCATCGGATAGCTTCTCCTCCATGATCAAGGGTTGGTGATGAGCAGGACTTCAACTCCGCCATCTAATGATGGTGGTTAGGGGGATGTGTTGAAGATAAAGACGATACAGACGGCGAAAGCGATTGGGAATCCTCATCGAAGTGAGGACTTTGTTACTCAATCTCGGCTCTGCAGACTCTACAATGAGAACTAGAGGTTCGTAGGGGATACCACTGACAGGTGTTGAGAACAGTTCCCCGCCCATGAGGATGTCACCGGAGGTCAAGACTGAACACCTGTGTGTCGTGTCCTCTGCGAACCTGGGAGTGAAATATTCTCTCAGAGCCAAGTTCTGTCAAAGGATCACAATATCAAAGAAGTTGGCCCATGAGACAATGATTCAAAATACTCCACCACATCATTCTTTCGCTTCCAACAAATTTGACGCCTACCTATGTCTCACTATGTCTATAAGTACGATCAAGTACATCCTCTTTCCAATGATCACACCTGTTGTCGACTTTCTCTGGCCCAAGCTGGCCACCAAATACACGCCTTTACCGATATTTACATCCGACGGAGGAAGCAAAGCGTGGCGTACAAATCTAGGAGACAGTTCTTTGGGATGGACGTGATTTGGCGGGGACAAGTTCACGAAGTGACACGGACGATGGATACAATCTTGCTGGGCGTGCGATTTTGAATTTTGGCAAGGAATCTCTACCAATTGAGCTTTGCGAGTGCCAAGACTTCGCTTGCGAGGTTGCAGGTGACACTGTAAACACAGCATAGTTGGATGGTGTAGTGGTACATCGTCCTCGTTGGTCTCCCAAACGAGGTCTGGACAGCTTGGACACATATCCAACTCGAAACAGGGGATCGTAGGTTTGATTCCGGCAAAACACCACCACATTTCCCGCGATGGAAGTTTGCATGGATGATCAAAGGTTTTGAAGTTCCCTTTGGTGGGTACATACGGAGGAGTGTCGACTGTTTGTGCAAGCGAACCCACCTCACAGTGGTATTTGCAAATGAAATCCACAGTACGAGTGTCTTAAACATCGAGAAAGGCATCCGTTGTACATGCATAGCACTAATCATGTGACTTAGCTAGATAGCTGAATGCATATTTAACGATAAAGTAAAAAGAGCTATAGAACCGCCCATGCAGCCTAAGGCAGCCGGGCATCCCATCGTCTTATATACAATTTACCTGATTTGACGCCTTGAGGCCCACGCAGGTTCTATCGGAAGATATGTACTTTAAGCAGGATGACTCAATTCGACGATTAGAACATTCACACTCAGAATTCATTTGCAGATACCAATCGAGGCTAACCTCTTCCGTGCATACCCACCACAGGGAAAAGCGTGAAAACGCTGTGGCTATCAAAGTGTGATTTCATCTTCCCATGTGTACTGCGAGAGGGAGTAGTGGGTGGGTCTGTTTGGATTCGGACCAAATATCTCCTGTCTCGATTGGGGTAGGTGGTCAAGCTACCTAATATCTGCTTGGGAGAATGGCCCGGATGGTGTACTACTGCACTATCCAACCCTTCCTATCGTCCAAACGAAATTTTTATTGTTATACGCTAGTATTCTAGCATTACACCGAGCTTGTTACAGCCAGAGCTAGAGGAGGACGAAGGCCGAACACCTGTCAGTGGTGTCCTCTACGAACCTAGGAGTGAAATATTCTTCCTGAGCCGAGATTCAGTCACGACAAAGGGTGAATTTGAGAGTTTTCGTCGAGTTGGCGATCGGGAGGAGTGGTGTTGGCTCATTTTTGGTCGAAAATCCGACTTGCAGCGATTTCACGACGGCACAACTCAACGAAATCAACCATCTAAACCCCAGGTACGAATCGCAGATAGGCTATAACCTGTCTGATGTTCGTATCACAACAACCGACACCTCCAAAATCTTATTTTCTGTTTCTCTGGAAAATTATTCCTAGCCAAACTTATCTCGCGGCCCTCTCAAGAATCATCTCACCACCTACCTAAGCTATCCAATACCTCTAAAAGCCAGATCGCCAATAAAGAAGCAAGAGGATGCCCGACCCTACGCAATTGCCAGTCGCTGTGAAGGTACGGTCGAAATACCGGCCTTAGATGCGTCCTCACCTCGGCCAAGGGCACCAACAACTCGACCTGCGACGAATCGCCACCAACAAAATACGTACGACATTTCGCCGGCACACCAACTAGAGCGTTCGACAAAGGCTGGGGCACCGGTGCCTCGGTCTTGAGCTCTCAGTCGCGTTTTCGTCCTCCACGGTTAGGGGTACGGCAGCGACGGGGCAAGGCCGGAGGAGTGGACATTCTAAAAAGTTTCTGGCATGAGGAGATGCTGAGATGAGCAAAAGCTGGGAATGAAGCGAAGAGAAAAGTTACGGATGGCGGAGATGTCAAGGGCTCGGGCGCGTGGTGGCCGAGGCTAAGGAGGAAATTGCGCTTCGGCGCGCCAAAAGGAGGTTCTCTGGACGGTTGGCCTTGATATGATTCAACACATGGGTGAAGTCTGAGGTGGTCCGGTCAATTAGGTGGGACGAGGTAGAAGCACTTAATGGTAGTTAACCTGATCCAGCCCGGCCCCACCCGTGCTTAAGCTCCAGTAGGAGTGCAATGGGAATCACTTTACCTCGCACGTTAAAGAACAAGACAAGACAGCCAGAGCTAGTTTTACCTGACACGATGATCTCGGATACAGTCAAACCCCTGTTAAGGCGATGTAATCGAGGCCGTGAAAAATATCGTCATACAGAGGATATCGCTGAATAGGATATGATTATCTAATCCAGCTATCTAGGCTACTTTGTACTTTTGGTGCCTCCTTTTTTACTCCCAATTTCCATCTCTAATCGCTCTAACACTCTCAAATAGCTCGAATTAAGAGAATCTTGACTCTCAGTATACTCAATCAACACTTTCAGAGCCATTTCGGCCTCTTTTGCTGTCCGCAAAGGCTGTTCGTCTTGTACTACCTGTCGGTATATTACGGGTATTAAATGTGCTAGCACGATAGGTTCTGAATTTCAGAGGGGTTAATTCTTCTCTGTTCTCTATCTAGGCTATCTAGTGAGAGTTACCCTATGCAAATGCCAAGGCGCTTCTGCGATCAACACCCGTACATGAGGGCCTACACTTCAGACCAATCAGAGGGATCCAAACACTACTGCTACTTAGTGGGTGATATGATTGTCTTTAAATAACCATATTTTCCAACACTACCTCTTCTTCTTCGTCTTGATTTGCTTCCAAATGTTCCCCAATGTGAAGGGCTTTGCCCGGATTGGGACTGGTCACTAGGACCACTCCGTCTCCGAGGTAAGGTAGTGGCAGGGCAACGCTCCTGGATAGACGAAAGTGGCGCTAAGGGGGTACGCACCAGATGGGTAGTATGATACAGGAGAAGAGTTGTGCCGGGAGAAAGGATGATTCTCAGGGGCCAAGGAAGAGAGTTAAGACTAGTCTACACAGAGCATATAAAGTATGGGAGAGTACGTGGTAGATGGACTCCCCAAGGAACAAGTTATTAATTCCTATTGAGTTATTGTCTTTCAAGTACATCTGAATTCATTAAACCCTTACACCCTATCACCTCTTGTAAAATCATTGCCTCGTCAAGCATCGAATTCCCTATTACGGCTGCTCGTCGTGAAATAGTATAGGAGGAATTATTGAGGTTTTCCCACGAAGGTTTTCCCTCAATACATGGTCTTAGGATCATGGTGAATGCGTTCCTACCTATTCGACCCGATGTAACTAGCTTGAGGCACGTATTTGGAAAAGTCAGGCACCGGATGGGCTTTGCTGGAGAATGGAGGAACTTGTATTCTAAATGTCCTCCATGTGTGTCATGTCCATTGGATGAAGGGTGTAAGACTTGCACGATAAATATAATCATCATCATCATCGAATTCCCTTCCTCTTCCTCCTCAATTGGATTAAGAAAATTGTCTATTGCCATTGAGTCTCGTATGTCTCCTGCTCTGAATACCTCATTAAACAATTCAGAAAGTATTGTCAGAAGTACAGACATAGGAAGAGCAATTGGCTTGGAAATAAGCGTCGATTTCCGAAAGCAATTGT